CTGTCTGTCTCACTGGCTGTAGGCTGGTATTGATGAACTTGTCTGTCTCTCAGTGTCAGTGAGCTGGTGTCTGTATTTCTGTCTGTCTCACTGGCAGTAGGCTGGTGTTCATGAGCTTGTCTCTCTGCCAGCAGTGCTTATTAAGTGTATCCGTCTCTCTTGCAGCTGTTACGATGCTCTCCCTGTCTCGACTGGTTCTGAGCTCCGGATCGCGCTCCCAGGCTGCACTGAGTCAGTGTGGCTCTGCGGTTCTGACCCGCTTCGCCAGCACAGCAGCCGGGCAGGTACAGTACCCATAAGATGTGATCCGGCGGCCCGGAAAGCTGCGCTGATCCGAGTGTCATTGTCTGCCCGTAAGACCACAACTGGTTAGGCAGCGGCCAATCCTGGACTACCTAGAGGGCCAGGACCCCTGTAATCGGGGCAGAATGGAGAATGCTGAAGCCCATCAGATAGACGTTATTAATACCCCAGGGGGGGCATTGGGGGGTTGAGCCTGACTTTCACACCAGGTGGATATGGTCCCCAGTCCTGGTGATCCACACACCTTCATGAGGTCATTGAAGCCTTACCTGACCTCAGTTCGGTTTAATATTTGCATTTTGTTTCTGGTTGCAAGTCTGGGATTGTATTGCACTTTCAGAATCCAAGGGTTGAAGCTCCAGCATGTGTAGGAGCTGGGAGCAAACAGTTCACACTGATCTTCCTGCTGGCGAGTCAAGGAAGGGCGTGAGTGTGTGACTGAGGGCTCGGCTGGGTGTGTGGGTCACCAGGACCAGGACCGGGAGACGCTGGTGTCACCTGCATGGGTTCGCAGCCCAGTGTGAGACCAGCTCGCCACGCTCTGGGGCTGGGATAGAGACTCGGCGCTGGAGCCCTGCGGACCGGGCCCCTCCTGTCCAAAAAGAATTACTTCTGTCTACCTTTCGTTTAAGGAGAAGCCGAAGAAAACGAAATATGGGCCTCTGAGTGACCAGGACCGCATCTTCACCAACCTCTATGGGCGACATGACTGGAGGTAGAGTTCCAGGGCGATGTAGTGGCCTAGCGCTCGTGCTGAGTGATGCACTGATGTTGTCTTGTAGTTTATCTGAACTCTGTTATACTACCCAGTGCAGTGTTAATGTACTGGAGTGTCCAGTCAGTCAGTGTGTCTGTATGAACCCCTCTCTCTCAGTGCAGTGTTAATGTACTGGAGTGTCCAGTC